TCACTGTTCTTATTTTTTAAGCTCAGAATTGGAGTCTGTACATATGCAGTTCCAGACTGCAAATTGCACATCGGCCAATCTTCCATCCCTGCTCTGTGGAAGGCACTGCAGGGGTGAGGGGGGCAGAAAGATGGCGGACAAGAAGGTCTCCAGGAATTTACAGTGATAGGAAGGGTAATGAGTACACCTGCGAAGAGATACAGATAGAGGCCAGGGGTGTGTGTGTGTGTGTGAGAGAGAGACAGAGAGAGAGAGAGTTAGAGATGAGGACTAAGGAGACAAGGGAAGGATTAGAGGAGATGGTATTTATTTATTTATTTATGAATGATTTTATTTATTTATTTGACAGAGAGAGACACAGCGAGAGAGGGGCAAGGGGAGCGGGAGAGGGAGAAGCAGGCTTCCCGCAGACCAGGGGCTCGATCCCAGGACCCTGGGATCACGACCTGAGCCGAAGGCAGATGCTTAACAACTGAGCCACCCAGGCGCCCCTCCACGAGCACCTCTTGATGGGGACCTGGGCTGTTTTCTAGTCTCTCACTAATACAAGCAAATGCTTAATGTATAAGAAACTTCGTATTTTTGGCATTGTCCTCTTGAACTCGGTGCTTCCGGTGGTGGCCTCCTCGGGGCCAGCCTAGAACCCACTTCTCTAGCCCTTTCTCATTTGGAAAATAGCCGACAGGGGATGGGGTGAGGGTTGAGGATGCCCTGTGTTCAAATCGCCACCTTGTGGTGGTTTCAGATGACTTCTGAAGGTTTTGTTTTTTGTTTTTAAGATTTTATATATTTGAGAGAGCACACGCGCACGCACAAAGAGAGCACAAACAGGAGGAGGGGCAAAGAGAGAGGGAGAAGCAGACTCCTCGCTGAGGAGGGAGCCCGAATTGGGGCTAATCCCAGGACCCTGAGATCATGACCTGAGCCGAAGGTGGACACTTAACCGGCTGAGCCCCCCAGGCGCCCCTCCTCCTGAAGGTTTTTAAACCTACCTCGAGGTGGGCAGTGGCAGACAGCCGGCGCTGGAGGACTGGAGGCCAGTCCTGACCACTTCCCAGCAAAATTGCTTGGAATCAAAAAAAAAAAAAAAAAAAAAAGCACTGAGTGAATATATGGAATTGTTGAATCACTATATTGTACACCTGAAACTAACATAACACTGTATGTTAACTACACTGGAATTAAAAAACCTTCACACATTTTACAATAATTAACTCAAAGTGGATTATAGATTTAAATGTAAAAGATAAAACTAAAATTTTTAGAAGAAAACAAGAGAAAGTCTTTGGCACCTAGAGTGAGGAGAAGAGTTCTTAAACATGACCCCAGAGACATGGCCCATGAAAGAAAAAGTCAATACATTGGACTACAGCAAAATTTAAAACTCTGGCTCTGCAAAAGGCCCTGTTAAGAAAATGAAATGACCAGCTATAGATTGCGAAAAATTATTTGCAAACCACGTATCTGGCAAAGGATTTTTTTTCATGGAAAATAATGAAGGACTCTCAAAATCCAGTAGTCAAAACACACCACCCAACCAGGAAATGAGCAAAACATCAACAGACATTTCACCAAAGGTGATGTACGGATGGCAAATGAGCATGAGAAAAGATGTTGAATATTATTAGCCATCAGGGAAATGCAGATTAAAACCATGATGAGGTATTACTACACCCCTATTGCAACATGTACAAAAATGACACTATCAAATGGTGGTGCTGGGATGGCCTGGGTGGCTTAGTCAGTTAAGCATCTGCCTTCGGCTCAGGTCAGGATCCCGCTGTCATGGGATGGAGCCCCACTTCGGGCTCCTTGCTCAGCAGGGAGTCTGCTTCTCCCTCTGCCTGCTGCTCCCCGCTTGTGCTCTCTCTCTGACAAATCAAATATAAAAAAAAAAATGGTGGTGCTGATGTGCAGGAACTGGATCTTTCGTATATTACTGTGGGAATGTAAAATGGTAAGCCGCTCTGGAAAAGGATCTGGCAGTTTTTTATCAAACTAAACCTGGGCTTACTGGTGGCTCTCCTGGCCCTCCATGCTTCTCCGGTGCTAGCATTTGTCCCCTTGTCCACCACCACCGGCTTGCTTGTCTGTCCTCTAGGCCAGTAAGACGAGCAATTGATCTGTCATGACGCCTTGGTGACTGCCGAATCCCTGCCCCTAGCGCAGGGTCTTGAGCCGTGCAGATGCTTAGTGCTGCGGAAGGAAAGCGCAGCTTCTTGACTGTTGACTCGGGAATATAACACGTGACGTGCGTCGGCACTGTTCGGCTCAGCCCGCCTTCTCTATAAAATGGGCAACACATCTGACACGGATCCGTTTATTTATGTGGTCACTGAACAAATATTTTTTGGAGCAGCTAAGTCAGGCTTGTTGTAGTTCAAGGAGCCAAAGTGAGCTAACCAGACACGGTGTCTTACTCAGTACTGTGTTTAGAACAAATTCCTACCAGCAGATCTAAGCCTTGCTGGGCCCACCTTCCTTTCTCCGTCAGATGCGTTTAACGCTCTGCTTTTCATTTGTTAGGTTATTTTTCCGTCCTTTTTTAAAGACTTTAGTTTCCATTTGGTCTTGTATTTTTCTTGAAAAAATTTTTTAATATTAGACGCTTCTACTTTTTCTCTTCTGACGTTAGTTTTAAAATTTTATTATCTGTTAATACCGCTCCAAGACAGTCTTGGCTAGTAGGTAACCCTGCTCTGCTCTGATTTCAATTGAGATGACTTTAGTATTTCCCTTAAGTTTTTGTTTTTGTGTTTTAAATCTAAATTGGGAATGGCTATTGGATTTTTTAAAATACTTCTTCAGCAGTGTCATGTGATCATAGGCCTTTTCTGCTTTAAGTTTGTGGTGAAATAAATGTGTTACTGGATTTCCTGATTATCAGCCCACACTTGCATCTTTCATGGTGTTATATTCTGTTGATAAATTATTGGATTTTGTTTGTTAATAACAGGAACGTCCCCGGGCTTTTGGCATTTGGATGTCCCCCTTTCCACTTCCAATACTAAGGCGGGTTTTCTTTCGTCTTGCATTATTGTGAACATTTCAATTTTGATGAGAAATGGGAATAGCTGCAATTTCCCCAGGTAATCCTGTATTTTAGTAAGTTGTTATAGTTTCAAAGAGAAAGAAATCATCCATAATTACACTATCTGAAGTTACTCACAGCTCCTGTTTTGCCATAAACCCTTTTGTGGTGTTCGTCAGAAAATCGTCAGCCCCTCAACAAACTTCACCAGGAATCCGCACCCTAAATGGGCCACGTGCTGCTCTTCTGACTCCCGGGGGCGCACGTGGGTGGGGGGAGCTCCTGATGGAGCCGCGCTAGCCTCCTTCCTCATAGAAAAGCTGTCGTGCAGACTGCGCTACACAGCTCTGGGGGCACCATTCACATTCAGCCATTGTGCCTCCATGTACTTACTACGATTTCCCAGCAGATGGCAGTGGACCGAGGGGCGCCAGTGAGGCCAGGACTCCCCTCCGAGACTGGCTAGAGGTTACCTGGACCCACAGCTACTCTGGGCATGCAAAAGGACCCGTGCCAGCTTGGGGTACCCGAGAGCAGCTATCTTCATCCGTGCCTTGCCCCCACCCCCGCCTTGACCCTGTTAGCGGACAACAGCAAAAGTCAGGCTCACCCCCGATTTCCCCTCTGCTGGTAAGGTTCTAGTTCTTAAGCGGAATGGTGTTTTCAGAGGTGTTCATTTTATTATGCTTTATACTTTATGTACATGTTACATATATTCATTTTGAATGCTTTGATACAATAAATAAAAAAGGAAAGCACACATATACAAATAAGAATGCCAGTATCACGGGGAAGACCTTGTATCTGCTGAAATTTTTCTTCAATTAGCCTATTCATAAATCTCAGTACTGTTAAGTTAGCAAACATGTCACAATGTACTTCCTGTCTTGATGCTAGAGTTAGAAATCCTTCTCCAGTTAAAGCATTTAGAAAGAATAGTAATGCTTTTTATTTTTTAAAGATTACTTTATATAGCAGGGCAATTTTTCTACTGGAACTCGTAACTGATAGTTGCAGTAGAGGCATGATAGCAGGCTACTTGAGTTTCCTTCAGCCTGTCTCTAGAATTTAAAGCAGGAATTGAATGGCAGGAATTTCTTCCAGAAAGCTGTTACATGTAAGTTTGAACATTACTAGCTGCTGCTCTTGAGCAGTATCTGAGAGATTTCAGAATTTCTGCTCCGTTGCAAACGCTAAAACCTGACCTTAGAAAGGATGCCTGGGTGCAGGAAAAACGCAGCGTTACGTCCAACCCTGTGACAGGGACCGCTAGCTGGGCTCGCTGTCCACCTCCCCACTGCTTCCTCCGTAACGAATCCTGGAATGTTCATTGGCCCACGACAGCCAGAATAAAGACTATTATTTCCTGTTCTCTTTGTAGCTAGTAGGATCAAGTGATTAAGTTTGAGTTGATGAGCCTATGTGGCGTAACTCGAGAAGTGCTCTTAAAGACAGGGGCGGCGTTATCCAGCTGTGTAGCTGTCGGCAGCCTCGACATGGAAGCCGTGTGTTGCGCGTGGGGGGGACCGCGGTCGAGGGAACCGGGAGTCCTGACCCTGCAGTGCTGGAGCAGCGCCGGACCGCCTTCCCAACTTTTCCACGCATGCACAAGAAATAAACTTGTATCTTGTTTAAGTCACTATTTGGGGACACAGCCCAACTAATAAATAGTGTCAAATTTGAGTCTCATTTCCTTAACCTAAAACGTTGATGCAAGTTAGACGCTGCACCTGATGGCGGGTGCATCTACTGCTTAGATGACGGACGAAAGCGGGTTCCCACGGAGAACATCGTGCGTCACAAACGGCTATTTTACGAGGTGCTGAACTCCAAATATCTGACCTCCCACTGGTAAAGCGCATCTGTGGTTTTTGAAAGAAGCATCAAGATCAAAAACTAATTGCCTTTAGACTAGCTTAAGATGCAAAGTGACTGAAGTCCCTTCCCATAAGAGAACTGTAACGAGCAATTTAAACAAAACAAAAATGGTTTGTTTTATTTACAATACTCAATGCATTTTACAAATAACATATTTGCATTCCCTAAGTCTTTTGGAAAGTAATTCCAGTTTGTGCAATGAGTTTACAGAAAAGTCTTAAGACATCTCTTAGACATCTTAAACCTAAATTCTCAATTTTGAAAGATATTTCACACTACATTAACAGAGGACTGTTTTTAATTAAGAAAAATTAAACTCTGTAAATATTGCCTTTCAATTATCTTTAACCCAAATACAAACTGGATTAGCCTGTGAAATAATACCATTAGATTTGGATAAATTATTTCCACTGCTTCCCCCACCCCCAAAATGCATGCACAAAGTAAACATGGTAAATTACATTAACGACATGTTATTTCAACACTTTTTTTTTTTGGACTCTCTCAACTATTGTTTTGCTCAATCTGGGGTACAGATAGGTAGGATTCCAGTCTGGGGAAATCCTAAACCCCACTCCAGAATAGGGAAGGATTTTCAGTAAGTCTGAGGAGACAGGTCAGGATTAGGGAGATTTCTAAGCAGGTTCTCCGAGGAGGCCTCGTCTGCTAATTAGAACCAGGTTCCCCTTCAGGCCTGATGAAGCCTAAAGGAGTCAGTTATCTCCCTACTGACAGTCTGGGGAGCATCTAATGCGAGTCTCCAAAGGACAATAGGTTCCTCTGTCTCCCCTCTTCCGTGAACTGCTACCTTCATTTTAGTGCCTTCTAAGGTTGATGATGGACAAAAGTTCCTGTGTTCAGATTCCAGAAACTGATTTAATGCCATACCAAGATCTTCTGGAACAGGTAAAGAGCAATGAACAATGACACTTTAATTGTGCAAGAGTTTTCATCTCATGCATGTGAAAAAAAATTAATTTTATCACTCATAGCTGCCATCTCTTAAAACATAAAATCCACGTCCTCGCTCTTGAGCTGGAAAGACAAGAGACATCGCCACATCGGATCCACCCATTTAGCAATGCACTTCTCCATCTCCACACTAGATCTCTCCTCAAAAGACAGTGTCCCTAACATCCACTGTCGGTGGCTGTCTGGGAGATACTGAGCCAGAGAAACAAAGCCCAACATTTGACACAGCCAACAAAATTCTAAGATAAAGAAATGGTGAGGTAGAGTTGAGAGAGTTCAACTGAATTTTCTGAGCATAGATCTTTTGGCACATTCTAAAATTATACAGACTCCTTCTCAAACTCTCTGTGACACCTTTACAAAGTGCTGGCAACTTCAGGAATCCTTGATCTATTTAGGAAACATCTATGTAAAGCTCACAGAATAAAGTCATTTGAAGAAATGAATTCCTGGCAGTTGAGCTTATTTACCCCAATATTGAAGCAAATAAACACAATGCTATCCATTTGCTGAATTTATTTAAACAAATCAATTTAGAAATCTCATAGAATGAAACAAGACTTCTGACATGTAAACATACTGCCGTGTTCCTGAAACAGATGGTAACACCTGATAAAAGTTAATAATCGCTTGTTAGGAAAGCTGTCCATTAATAAGGCCAGTCTTCAGCAGTTACTAAAACCATTGTGTTTCTTTAGCTTTCCTAGCGTGACAATGCAATACTATCAAACCACAATCAGATCTAATAAAAGACAAGATTGGATGGACAGATCAGTACCATTGGTTACAGCTGTTAAACAGTTTCATTCTTGGCGCCACGTAAAAACAAGCCAATCACATCAAATAAATCATGGCTTTTTTTCTTTATCACAATTCACTAAGTGATGTTAATTATGGTCCTTGTCAAACACGTTTGGTAAAGGCTATTTACAGTGTACATGGCTGAGCATGCACTATTTATAGTTACAAAGATACCTGCCAGTTTATTACAATAGAATTACACAGTGCCTGAAAATGGTGAAACATCTCACACGTCATTTAAATCAATAGTTTCAAGCAGAAAACGTTCCTTATTTGACCACAATTGCAATAATTACATGAAAATTCTTATAAAAACACGAATCCCCCTCAAGAAATTGATGCATATTCTACGCACTATAGGTTAAGGCAGTAAAAAAATGTATTCCTGATAACTGGAGGTCTTGACAATGTCAATTAAAGCTGTCCGACTCTAGTTTTTCATTCTCCATCGTATACTCAAAGTTCTGTCTGTGTAACTAATCTGTGAAAGATTTCATTTTTAAAGTTGAAGAAGTATTAGCAATGAAGAGAAGAGCTGACGTTGGAAAAAGAAACTGCTAGGGAAAGGGAGAAATGTTAAGTTGCATTTTGCCTGAAAGTTTTCAAATTCTAAACAAGAGCATTATTTGTGAGTCTGAACCTTAAAAGTATAAAACAAATACATATAGTTTACCTTTCTTAATTTAAAATATACTGAACTTTGAACAATTCAAGTAATGTAAGACTATCAAAAATAACTTCATAAGCCATACAAGCATCAACTGCATGTTCAATGTTTTTAATTAAGAACTTTTTAAAAACTGTAAACTAAACCAGGAGTTTAGTTAACAAATGGTAAGTGACCTTTTATTTGCACTTGTGATTCCTTTAATACAAATTGCTACCAACATATATGTAAAGATATGGCAGATTATGCATTTGATCAAAGCACTTTGATTTAAGCATAAAACAGATTCAAATGGTTTAAGTTCCGTGCATAAAGATCGCAGATGCTGCCTACGCACCCGCAGGCAGCTCTCTCTCTAATCAGAATCCTTTATTCCTCAGCTGCAGATGAGACAGGGCACAAGCTGTTGTAAACAGGGCACTGCTGTAAAACCAGGATAATATTCTTAAATTAAGATCGTTCTCGTTCAATTGAAAAGACTTTCCCCAAGTGTCTTCCAGCACTGGAGTATATTCTGCTGACCTCTGAATTTCATAAATTAACTTTCCTTTGATTCCATTTTTACGGTGGTTGTGTTCACAGTTTTGTTCTAAAAATTGGTTTGAATTTATATAAAACTCTGTACATGTTCACAAATTATTGCATAAACAGCATAATCTTCCAGACAGTGTTTGAAAACACATGTCCAATTCAGGAAAAATATATTCACGTTTCCCGTCTGGCTTTTTTCTTCTTTTTTATTTGTTTGGGAGATTCCCAGCTAGTTTCAGACTTGGCTAAAGGGAAAAAAAGAAAGAAAAAACAGGAGTAAATACTGTTATGTCTCAAAAATGTAAAGGTAGCATCAACGGAGACATGCGTTGAAATAGCTCCGCCGGTAATGCTTCAACCTTTGTGTTTACGTCCCCAGCCCCAGGGACACGTTCTGTAGGTGAGTCCACGGCTGCCGGCCCCTTTTCCTCTGAATCCCAGTGTATTGTTTTTTTATGACATGGGAGGTATTTCACCGGTTTTGATCTAGAAAACCCACCATTTAATACGGCTCAATCTGAGTGATGAAAGTGAAAATGGGCAAAAATGGACACTGAACGGAGCTGGAGGGAGCAACAGAGGGAAAAAAGGCACAGAACAATTCCCAGCCCCAAGAACATGCGCACAGGAAAAGGGAGGGACCAGACAGACAAGGGCATGTATCAAATCCTCCACCGTCCATGTCCCTGGCCGCCCCCTCTTGCTTGGAGTGATTTCAGTCCCTGGGCCCTCACAGCTGAGGTCCACAGGGTTCCAAGAAATCCAGCCTTTGCCAAGGAAGGAAGGATTATCTATCAATCCAATCCATCAGCCTTCTAAGGTATTAACGCTTATCAACAGTACAAGAACACACAAAAGAACCAAAACGGAGGATTACTCACTCTGTGAAGGAGGCACACTATTTTGCTTAGTATTTGACTTGGATTTATCTGTCTCTTGTAGCATCGGTGGCACTTGGGACGAACTCTTGTCAGAATCACTTTTTGATAAAAGAACAGATGGCTCGGGAGAAATAGCAGGTGGAAGAGTCTTGATAGGCTATTTTGGGATAAAATTATCTTAAGTTCTTTTGTAAAAACTTTCAAATAAAATTAAATATCATAGTAATACCAAGAGGCTGTTCAGGAACAAGTGAATACTAACACCGTTTCCAAACAATTTACCAGCGGAAGCACTACAACTCGTGCCTGCCCTCTAGCGGCATAACCAAATAAATCCTTACCCACAATAACAAATGGACGAAAGTATAAAATTAGAAGATGTTTACGGAATCTCAAATAGGGGTGAATAATTCCATCTCCATGAACCTTTACATTTTTCTTTTTCATTACAAATATAATGATTTTATATGTTTTAGTAACTCAATGTCCACTTCTTACCAACTCTTTAATTCCTCAAAACTTTTTCATGTGAAAGACAGAAAAAGGCTAATTTCTGAAATACCTATAGGGGATGCTCCCTTCTCTGCTTCTTGAGAGGTAAGGCTAACTCAACTCAAACAGGGCAGCAATCACTTCCGTTTCCTACCCACAGAAAATGGCGGCCTCAGACAAAAGCGAACTATGGCTACTAGTCCTATCCATTAAAGGAAGCAGTAAAACTCAGGTCCAAATTTCCAGAGTTCTATCCAGTCTTTTAGTGAAATCATAATGCTGAGGGCCTAGGCTCCTACGCCTTGCTTCTCCCCACCAACCTGGAAGCAGAAAGGCCTCTGTGAGACCTGTTAATGCATGGTCAGGAGAGGTAAGGATGGAAACCCCAGTATTTGGAGTGCCTTGAGGCTGTAACAGAGATCATCAATTCATCCTTAGCCTTATCAACATGACTGAATATAGAAACAAGGCTAAGTGATGTTTCTCTTGCCCCTTGTTCCGCTAGGCTTTGTGGGTGTAAGAAAGCTCAATGGAAAAGGAAACAAGAAGAGGAAGCTGTGTGCACGCGGGTAATTACTAGGATTCCTTCCTTCTGTTTCAGGTATCTGAAAGAAGCTGCATTTGTCCTGCTTGGCTCAGCTTTCTTATTAGTGTTCTCCATATTTATTTCTTACCCAAAAGTTTTAGTATTTATTTCCAGTATTCTTTCTCCCCTCTATTCTCTCCACTTAATCTATGGTAAATCACAGAAGGACTCAAATAGTCTTTACAAAATGGCTTCTGAAAATGACTTACTAGTAAGTAAAACATCAAAATGTCAAATGACCCTTTGTCGCCCTACTATTAAACCTATGCATGTACTGAGATCACATCCTTACATCTCAAAAGGGAATTCTTCTCTTAGGGAATTAAAAGCATCAAATCCAAATAGGAACTATGGTTAAGATTTTATTTTGGCACAAGACTGTTACCAATTACTTCTTTTGGCGGTAACTCAGGTTCTTCTTTTTTAAAGATTTTATTTTATTTTTTTAAAGATTTTATTTATTTGACAGAGAGAGAGACAGCGAGAGAGGGAACACAAGCAGGGGGAGTGGGAGAGGGAGAAACAGGCTTCCCGCAGAGCAGGGAGCCCGATGCGGGGCTCGGACCCTGGGACCATGACCTGAGCCGATGGCAGACACTTAACGACTGAGCCACCCAGGCGCCCCTAAAGATTTTAAGTAATCTCTACACCCACTGTGGGGCTGGAACTCACAACCCCGAGATCAAGAATCACATCCTTTACCAACTGAGGCAGCCAGGCGCCCCTGTAACTCAGGTTTGTGTCTGAAGCTGTTTCATTAAATATGTACACTTCAAAAAGGCAGATTTTTTTTGATCTGCTTTGCTCTCTGATATATCCTCAAATAGTGTGTGGCAGTGTAGTGGGTTCTCAATAAATTTTTTTGAATGAGCATATAAATGAACCATGCAACTCTAGTAGGATTTCATAGATTTCTATACAATTTACCTTTTTAGAAATTACATTTTAAAAAACTATGCATCACTGGCCTAGACCTCTTGTAAAATGATCCTTTCGGACACATCAAAATTTTCTACCAATGGCACATATTTCAAGAACCTGTCACCAATTTTAAACAAATGTTAAATTTTGAGAGGTTGGACCACAGTCATTATATATTATGGCATGCTTTTAGGAAAATGCAACCAGTTACATTTTCTCTAAGCCATCTATCCCCTGTATGTTTAAATATTTAATAGGAGAAAACATAGTCTATTGGTTCTGGTTTCACCACTGTCAGGCAGCTTGGGACTAGTTATTTAAGTTCTCCAACCTCATTTATATAATAGATCTTACCTTTCTCATGGGGTTGTTATGAGGGTTAAATTAGTGTATTTAAAATACTCAGCACTTTAGTGATTAGCAATGCTTAGCATTTAGTACTTCGATAAAATATGAGTTATGACACAACTCTCAAGTCATCAAAATTTTATTCCTTAAATATCAAAAAATTACCTGGCTATTTTTGATGAGTGCTTCAGCTGGATCACTAGTGCTTATGGTCTTCAAAGAAAAAGCTTTTTCCTGTTTTGGACGGACTTTTGAGGTATTCACTGGAAGCTCTTCCCTAATCTCTTTTTCTAATTCTTCTGTGTCCTACAGAGAAAAGTAGTCTATTAGATGATATAAATCACTCTTTTTTACTAATTAAAAATCTATCTGGTTTGTAGTGTTAATGTCCAAAAGATATTCCAAGAAAATAATTTCACTTCAGTAACTGTTCAAACAGCTTAATAGAGCATATAAAAACAATCATTCAAAGATTTAAAATATACAGGTACATCTGGAACAACAGTGATCATCCCTGCTCTCGCCAGGGACTTAAATCAATTGGGAATTAAAAACCAATACACTCCCATCCCCAAATGCAAACCATTCTAATTTACTAAACCAACTAAAACGAAATAAACTAGAATTCTGTCTTTTAAACAAAATACACAGTGAATCAGGTGATACTCGAACTAAGATTTTGGAAGTAACATTTCAGTTAATGACTTCTTTAAGGAACAAAATATTTGTACATAAATACATTCTGTAGATAAATGAGGCTGACACAGTAGAAAGTACTTTTCAGGGGCGCCTGGGTGGCTCAGTCGTTAAGCGTCTGCCTTCGGCTCAGGTCATGATCCCAGGGCCCTGGGATCGAGCCCCGCATCGGGCTCCCTGCTCGGCGGGAAGCCTGCTTCTCCCTCTCCCACTCCCCCTGCTTGTGTTCCCTCTCTCGCTGTGTCTCTCTCTGTCAAATAAATAAATAAAATCTTTAAAAAAAAAAAAAAAAAGAAAGTACTTTTCAGTTCTGGTCTGCTGCAGCCTCGTTGTGTAGTGTCAAAGACAAATAATTTCATTTCCCTGAACCTTAGTTTCCTCCCTCAACTATAAAATAAAATGTGCCTAGATAATTTCTAAGGTCTTATCCAAGCTTTAACATTTCCATTCTTAGGCCATCAGACTTTATTTTTTAAAAAAGACTTTATTTATTTAACAGAGAGAGAGAGAGACAAAGAGCACACACACAAGCAGGGGGAGCAGTAAAGGGAGAGGGAGAAGCAGGCTCCCCGCTGAACAGGGAGCCCGATGAGGGGCTCGATCCCAGGACCCTGGGATCGTGACCTGAGCCAAATGCAGATGCTTAACTGACTGAGCCAACCAGGTGTCCAAAGGCCTTCAGACTTAAAAAAGTTTCAACAAAGCAATTCTAAAGCACATTACATGCTTAGGTATGTGAAATAAATATGAAGTAGAATACATTAAACAGGACCATCGTTGCTAAGTGTATTGTTCTTTAGCCAACACATACATATAAACCACTGGCTAGGATGATCTTGGAAGTTTTCTGCCAATACCGATATTTTATAAAACTTGTTCAGGATGGTAGTGGGTTTAGACAGTAATAGAAATTTTGTTGTGAATTTAAGTTGAAGAGTAGCTCTGGAAGTATATATGTAGGACTTGCCATCTGCACAAAATTAACGTGATGACATCAGTGAGTTTTACCCTAAGCTGTATTCTAAGAGTAAGACGCCCGCCAACCACGTACCCACAACTAAAAAGAACAAATTCCCAAATGTATTACGGACAGGATACTATGTTCTATGAACCTGACACAGAATTTCACGGTTGTCTCATTTAATTCTCAAAGCAACCTATGCAGTTAAGTCACTTGTACAAAGAAAAACAAACAAAAACAACTAGTAAATGGCAAAACTGAAATTTGAATACAGATCTGACTCCAAAGCCTGTATACTTACTCACTGTTATTTATTTAAAAGATTTACTGATTTAAGAGAGAGACAGAGGGAGGGAGGGAGGGGCAGAGGGTGAGAGAGTCCCACGAAGACTCGGCGGTGAGCGCAGAGCCCGATGAGGAGCTCAATCTCATGACCTGAGATCACAACAGGAGCCAAAACCGAGTCAGATGCTTAACCAACCGCGCCACCCAGCTGCCCCATACTCACTGTTATTTTTAAAAACCTATCAAACATTTTTAAAAGGAGTATCAGAATACCAAAAGAACTTCCACAAGTTAATGACCTTTGCCAGTAAGTTGAAATTTACAGATTACATCTGTCCGACAAAATTTCTTTTTAAAAGGAACTCATCTAATCCACAAACCAGAAAAGCAATCTTTAGTAAAGGCTATAAATTTAAGTCACAGAAGTCCAGGAAAAGTTTGGCTAAACAGAGTTCAGACAGTATTACCAACAAAAGACAGCTGTCAATAATGGTTCTCGTCAGACAGCTCAGCTAACAAGAGAAGCACCCTTATTATGTAGTGTATCCACTGAGCTCAGTTACATATGTTACTGTGAGAAAAAACTAGCACTGAAAATGGATTAGTGTCATTTATGATGGGCTGTGCCTCCCTCAACAAAAAATGAATGCAACATGTATTTCCTTATATAGCAACTTTTCCCAAAGAGAATAAATAGGAAAATTACTATGTAGGCTATCCTCTAGAAACTCTGGCTATCTCCTACATTTAAAGGAATAAAAACAAGTAGCCACATGTTTGTAGGTAAGGAATAAGATTTTCATAATTTGTAATATAATGGTGATAGTGCTTTCAAAGAGAAACCCATGCATACTTCTAGTAATCTAGTATGTTTGCAATTAAAATACCTTTGTTTTCATCTATATTGTCACTTAAAAATTTTCCCAATAGGAGCGACCAATGAAAAAAGAAGGAAAATGGAGGAGTGACAGAAGTAGAAAGTTTCTGTCAGAAGCCAACAAGCAGATGGAAGATACTAAGTGAAGGTATTAAGAGGATACTAAGTGAAACAGACAGCAGACTCAGAGTGACACTCCACTTGTGACCCACATGTTGTTCTGAGCTAAAATTCTAACTTGCTAAATTCCAGTTATTCAAAAGGCATTTGTGTATGTGAGAAATACACAAGGTTACCTCTTTTTCCATTTCACCTTAATATAAATCAAAATGCATCTAATTTAATTTATTACTTTGGGGTTTACACCTTTGGTATGATTTTTTTAGAGCAATAGTTATTATTACAGTAGGATATAGAAGATCTTTAAAACATTCTGTGACTTTTTAAATGCTCTGCAAGTAAACCTATCTCCTAAAGTGTCTTTTAACTCTACATATTCTTAGTACCTGCATATTATCTTTTCACATTTGAGCAGTAGGTGCTTAACGAATGACATCTGTTTTGATACTCTACCTGTGCTGGAGAGTTATCTTCACCTTGCTTCTTCTTTTTCTTTTTTTTCTTTTTAGATTTCCCAGTTGGAAGAGCTCCCTCTCCCTTTTCTTTATCATCATCTGAAACCTGATGTTAAAAGCAAAAGTATTAAGTGAAACAATTGGTTAAGTTTTCATTATTCAGAAATTATGGAATAATTTCATTCATTAGGCTCAGTCTTTATCTCCTAAATGCTAAGTAAGAATTAGTAATGAGTAATAAAATGGATCTAAAATTACATATTTAAAAAGAACAAAGTACACGGAACTTCATTCCCCTATTATCTATGATAGACCACCTTTTTTATTTTTTTTTACATATTTCTGATTGTTTTTATATGCTCTGTTAAGAGAATGACAAGCTACCGAGTGGGAGAAAATATTTGCAAACCATATATTCAACAAAGGACTCGTGTCTCAGACTATATAAAAAACACTAAAAATTCAACAGTAAACAATCCAATTAGAAAATGTGTAAAATATATGAACAGACATCTCACAGAGAGAGGACAGACAGATGGCAAAGTAGCACATGGAAGATGTTCCACATCATCAGATATTAGGGAAATGCAAAATTAAAATCACAGTGAGTTCACTACACACCTACCAATAACGGCTAAAATAAAAAACAGTGACAAGCAAGTTCTGGCAAGGATTCAGAGAAATACGATCACTCATTCTAGCCCCAAGCCAAAAACAATCCTGATGTCCTTCAACAGAATGACTGAACAATCTGAGGCATATCCACACCATGACTACTCAGAAGTAAAAAAGAACCAGCTAATGATGCACACAACAATCTAGATGAGTGTCTAGAGAATTATGCTGAGTGAAAAAAATAACAGTATGAAAGGTTACATGCTATATTATTCTATTCATAGAACATTCTTGAAATGATAAAATTATGGAGATGGAAAGAGATTACTAGTTGCCAGGGGTTACGAGGCGGGTGGTGACAAGTGGAAAGAAAGGGTGGCTATAAAAAAAAGGGCAACATGAGGGGTCCTTGCAGGATGGGAATGTTTTCTGTATCTGACTGCATTAATGTCAATATCCTAGTTGTGATACTGCTCTCAAGTTTTTCAAGATGTTACCACTGGGGGGACTGGGTAAAGAGTACAGGGGATCTCTGTATCATTTCTCACAAGTGCCTGCCACTCTACAGAAGGCTTAATTTAAAAAAAATTGAATTTGAGATGGAATGTCATTGAAAATAACATTCTGCAGGACGAAAACAGTGATCTAGAACGTTAAATTAGTATTCATAATATCCCTTCACACATACCATATAGTTGACTTCTCTATGAAAAAGTGCTTTTTGTTTCTTCTGCACAGATGACAGCCAAGATTCCTAGCCTATCCTTATAGGATGAGATGATGGGGTAACTACTATTTCTCCGCTCAGCAGCAGAGTCATTACGATGACTCTGGAGGTCTCATGAACCACCAAACAGTTCACAGAAATTACTAGCAGATGGAAAAACAAAATCCTACACAAACTTAGCTAAGAGATGTTCAGTACAAGATGGTTGCCAGTTGTGGAGAAACTTCCACAGAAGTTTTCACCGTAAGCTCATTGTGATTAAAATACCACGTGAAAAAATGTATCCTATAAGGAATATTCAGGTCACAATGACTCTGGGCAGCCTGCTTCTCAGACAATTATCATCCAACCATAAGAGAACCGTAGTTCCTGATTGATGGCAAAACACTATTTTTGTTCATGGGGAAAAAGGCTGAAATCAACTCCATACCATCTTTTAACTCGCACAAAAGAACTGACACTTTGACACATTTATTTTAGATTATTAAAAGACATTATTGATAAACTTAAAATTCCGTAAACCCTTCCCATTTCCACACCACCTCCCCTGGGGGTTTACCCTAGTCTTTATCATTACCATGCTAATGGTCTACCATTACCATTACCACGAACCTCTTTTGTGTCCCTCCAGTCAAGCTTCTTTTTATAAATTCTGGTGTGTTCACACATACACAATTTATATAAATGGTATCATACTGTATCTTTCTTTCTTTTTTTTTTTTTTTTTAAATATTTTATTTATTTATTTATTTGAGAGAGAGAATGAGATAGAGAGAGCACATGAGAGGGGGGAGGATCAGAGGGAGAAGCAGACTCCCTGCTGAGCAGGGAGCCCGATGTGGGACTCGATCCCGGGACTCCAGGATCATGACCTGAGCCGAAGGCAGTCGCTTAACCAACTGAGCCACCCAGGCGCCCATACTGTATCTTTCCATAAACCTGTCCATCATTCAACATGTTTTTGAGATTCTATTCATGTTGATATTAATGTAACTTGTTTCATTGATTTTTAACATCTAATATGTGATTGTACAAACCTGTCACATTTTCTTTCTCCATTCCTCAACTGATGGGCATTTAGATATTGCCCCATTTTTGCTAAGATAAATGAAAGACGATCTCCAAATATACTCAGAAAAAGAACTGCTATGATATGTAACAGTCTTTACTCCGTTCAGTGATTCTACTCTGTCATTCTGATGATCAGGCACAAGGAAGTTTCAGTTAAAAAACAGATTTTTGGTTGCACATTCACTAAACATTCAACAAATACCAGAATGATTATGGTGTGTTAAGGTACCGTACCAGGAAGCTTTTCTTTCCTTAACAGACTTTATTTTTTAGAGCAATTTTAGGTTCACTGCAAAACTGAGCAGAAGGCAGAGATTTTCATGTACTCCCCACCCCACACATGCACAGCCTCTCCCACTATCACTATCCCTCCCCAGAGTGGGGCATTTGTTACAACTGATGAGCCTACACTGACACACGATTATCACTCAAAGCCCCTAGAATTTACCTTAGGGTTCACTCTTGGTGTTGTACATTCTACAGCTTTGGGAAAAATGTATAATGACATGCATCCACCATTATAGTGTCTCTACAGAGTAGTTTTACTGCTCTAAAAACCCTCCATGCTCTGCCTGTTCATCTCTCTCTCCCCCAAACCCCCTCAACCTTCATATTACCTATCAACTGCCCCCCTGTACATTTCTTTACACCCTTAACAATAAATCCCATTACTACCTCTTCCTTCCTATGGTCTCTAAAGATCAGAGGTACTACCATCCTACTATATTAAAGGCCAACCCACAATCCACTCATGCCTAAGATTCCCCTACACCTACTGCCAGGAACTTACTCTATTAGTCAAATCTGTCAGTTATGTTTAGCTTTTACTTTACTCTAGATCCTTTCCCTTTGTGACCACAGATATGTTAAAGCAGGGGTTGACAAACTACAAGTCTGGCCCGATGCCAGTTTTCGTAAATAAAGTTCGTTTCCCTATAGTCTACGGTTGCTTTTGCACTACTGTATGGGACTTTAATAAAAAGTTTACCGACCCTGTACTAAAATCTCTCCTATCATTAAAACACAAACAACCCCCAACAAAACCCTTCCTGATACTACAGTGTGCTGTCATCCACTACCTCTCCTCCATTTCTATCCAAACTTACTTTAGAAAAACCTTGTAATTGTCACTACTCTTTCCTAACCATTTACTCAACTTACTGCAATATGGTTATTAGTCCAAAATTTTTTTTTTTTTTTTAAAGATTTTATTTTTTGACAGAGAGAGAAAGTGAGAGAGGGAACACAAGCAGGGGGAATGGGAGAGGGAGAAGCAAGCTTCCCGCTGAGCAGGGAGCCCGATGCGGGGCTCGATCCCAGGACCCTGGGACCATGACCTGAGCCGAAGGCAGACGCTTAACAACTGAGCCACCCAGGCTCCCCTAGTCCAAGATTTCTAACGAAACTGCTCTTAATTACCAGAGAGCAAATGTCTCAGCCTCTGTGACCCAGAACTCTCTTCCCTCAGTCTCTTTCATGGGCTTTTTTCTCCTTAAAAGTTGGGAGTTTCCCAGATTCCTATGTTCATTCCACTGCTCTTTTCAAGTCTACAGACTTTTCCTAGATATTTCACCTACGCTCAAAGTGTTTAACAACCATATACTAATAACGTCTAAACACATCTTTTCCCTAAGCTTTAACGTGGCACAAAACCAACTTCTCTTTGGCATTTCAACAAAACGCTCTGTATTTAACATATCCCAAATGGAACCAACCACCCTTCCCCCAATTAACTAGCCTTTGCTCCTATATTTTCTCTGTTGGGAGGACTACTTCCACCTTCCCAGTTACCCAAGCTAAAATCCTGGAAGTCATTTTGATGACTCCTCCTCCATTCAACTCTTTTTTCTTTTTTTTTAAATTTTATTTTATTACGTTAATCACCATACATCACATCATTAGTTTTTGATGTAGTGTTCCATGATTCACTGTTTGCATATAACACCATTCAATTCTTTTTTTTTTTTTTTAAAGATTTTATTTATTTATTTGAGAGAGAGAGAATGAGATAGAGAGCACGAGAGGGAAGAGGGTCAGAGGGAGAAGCAGACTCCCCGCCGAGCAGGGAGCCCGATGCGGGACTCGATCCCGGGACTCCAGGATCATGACCCGAGCCGAAGGCAGTCGCTTAACCAACTGAGCCACCCAGGCGCCCAACACCATTCAATTCTAATCATGTTCTGTGGATTTTATTTCAATGTATTTTTCAAGTCTGTTCTGTATTCCGTGTACCATTCTTACCACTACTGTCCTGGACTACTAAGCAACCTCTAAACTGGTCTTCCTGCCTTTTCCCAGATATGCCTCCACCTTTTTCCACATGGGCTACCAGTGTAACCCACGGAGAAAAAAAACACTTTAGCTTAAAATCCTTCCATTACTTACAGGATAAAATCCATGGTTTTAAATATGACATTCAAGAACTTCTAGGATCTGGTCCCTGCCTCCCTCTCTAGTTTAATTTCTGACCACTCTTTGTTTCGCATTCTGCTTTTACCTTCAGGATGCTTTTGCTAAAACTCCCAAGTGCTTCTCTAATACCCAACACATACTGTAACATGACTTTTACCTGCTGATGTGCGGGTCTCCTTCCTCTCCTCCCTAACCAGACTGTAGGCTCCTGGAAGGCAGTAATCGTGTCTTATTACCGCTTCTCTACTAACCAATCAATACCTGACTTATGGCAGATGTTCAATTAATATTTGTTGAATACCAACAGCCCTATTATCTTCAGAGACTCCTTGACTTTCACCCTAATTCCTATAGCCAACCAGATGCAGTCTGATCAGGAGCTTTATATCTCTGGTAAACACCACTTCCATTTATTTTTCAAAGCTATCAATTTAGTTCATTATCTCCTACCTGATTCATGTAACTGCCTCTTTAACACTTACCCCAAAATAGTACAAAATAGCTTCCCAAGCTTCTTGTCTTTCCACTGTATCCAGCTTAATTTTCCTAACCCCAGTGATGATTAGGTTATCCCTAGTTAAAAAGCCGCCGACAGGTTATCATCTACAGAATTTCACAAAAATGTGGCAAGGTTATCTATCATTCCTTTCATTTATTTACTGAATGCCAAGCATGTTGCTAGAGCTACAAAAATAAAAACTTCATGGTCCCTTTCTTTAAGGAACGTAGCCTAGAAGGAATATACTTTTCATCAACTGATTCCACACATGTGTACTATTTACCTCTCCACTAAATTATTACCTCTTTTCTTGCCTTGATGGCTTTTTCATGGTGTTCTCAGTCTTGTCTGCTGCTATGAAGCCTTCCTAAATCTTTCACTGGCAACTGATCTAGTCTTCTCTAAACACACTAAGAGTTGATATAATACCAACTATTATTAATTCTGATAAGAGGAAAGGAACTGTGTTTTCTTATCAGTGCCTAATAGTGCTTTCCACATATCACAATTCTCAATAATTTGTGGAAAGAAAAAACAGTGATACAGAGAAGGCATGCAGGCATAAGGATTGAAGCAAATATAATCAGAATGGCTCAGAAGCAATTCTACCACTGGATGTATTTATAATACAGAATGTAACCCCTAATAATTATAATATAGTTGGGTGCACAAAGAAATAGACATACCCGCCAATGCCTTTACTCACTTTTTGATCATCAGGAATTGGTTCCTGGGACTTTAGAAGTGAAGCTCTTTCTTCATCTACCCAATTTCCCCACTCTTCTGCTGGTGCATTCCAATCAGAGCTGGGATCAGCAGAAGACAGACCATCTAAAATTTAACAGTGTGAATTAGGAATCTATCATTTCTGCCAAAAACTAAAACGCAAAAACTAAAATTCCTTATGTTGAACTAAGCTGTATTTTTAAACTATTGTTCTTCCTTCTTTCTCCCAAGCACATTTTAAGAGCTAGAAGAAAACCCAATAACATGATGGTAAAAACCTTTGTCCCACTTGTGCTAGGCACATCATATGGCTAATTAAATGGAATTTCTAAGAAACTCTAGGAAACTTAAGAATTACCTATTTAATTTCACTCTCCCAAATTCCTCTGTGATCAAACACCTGACTTTGCTCTGTTTGTACTGTTTATGTCTAATTTGGTCTGGGTCCTGGTCATTTTTTTTCTCCTCCTTGGTCATTCCATTTTTGTACTTGATTTATTTTCTAGGGTACAGAATTAGTGAATCTTGAACCGCAGTGCCAAAATTATGGTCCCCATCCGTCCTTTTACACTACACCTCCTCCCCTCCTTAGGAGCTTTTCAAGATTAGGTTCTTCAAATTCACCAAGTCACGACAGAATAATGTCTTCTTTCTTCCTTTTTTTGGGGAAACAATTACTTTGTGACTTTTAATGGTTAATACTTCATCTGTACCTTCTTACATTTTCCAGATTATTCAATGCTACTTTTATCATTCCAAAATATTCAAGTCACTTTCAGGGTTTCTATCATCTATTCTCAAGAATAAATTTATATTTCAGACCTCTAGATTCCTCTCTTTCACTCTAAAAGGCACTGAATTTTACCTCCTTTGGGAAGCTATCACTTGCTTATTCTAAAAAGGGAAAAACAATCTTTGGCTTTATCCTAGTTAAGTAGCTCTCAAAAGTCAATTCTTCTTTCCTCTCCCTGGATTTCTGAAATGCTTCCACATCACTTCTGCAATGACTACTTACAGCCAGGTTTCATTTCCAGTGGTTTAAGATGATAGGGGTTAAGCTCTATTTCTAAATGGTAAACAAGTCATTCTAGCACTGCTTTATTGAAAAATCCAATCTTTTCCCATTTATGTCAAACGTTACTTTTATTAACTACTGAGGTCTTTCACATACACTTCAGTCTGTTTCTGGAATTTCTATCCTATTTCACTGATATATTCCTGGGATGGTGCCATATGTGACTCTGTAATACTTTTTAGTAACTCAAATGACAAATCTGCCTGATTCTTATTTTCTTTGCTGTTCTTATTTTTTCATGTGAACTCTATTATTTTTCTTTAAAGGGGAGGTATTATGATACCTCATGAAGGCTTTAAAACCTATGTTTCAGAAGAATATAATCTGGGAAAATGCTCACAGAAAAAAAAACAGACAAAATTGTCTTTAAAACATGATCCTAAATTTATATGAGGAAGAGACTGAAGAAAATAATACAGTAACAACAGATATATCTTAATAGTAGAATTGCAGGAATTTCACCTTATTAAGCACTTACTATATATTAGAACTTGAGCTGGGTAGGTACTAGACATACAAAAATGAGTACAATATACCCCCCGCCCCCAACATGGAGCTCCTGGTCTTATCTATTCAGAGATGAAGATAGGTAAGTACAAGAGACATTTAAGCACAGAATGAGACTTTCTGTCACAAGGGTATGGAAAGGGAGAAGAGGGGTTAAAACAGTAGAGGATGGAAAGAGACTGAAAATAAGAACTGGTAGTCTAAACAGGTAACAAGTGATGACAACTGTGAAGTATGTTACAATAAAGGAAGTCCTTTCCTAAATTTACTACCATGAGCAGGAATCCAGAGGCTGTACTGCACGGTACACCCACAATTGGGGTTAAGGGTATGGACCTTGGAGTCAAATAGATCTACATCTGAATATTGATCTACCACTTAATAACTATGTGATATGGGTCAAATTTCATAATCTTAGTCGGTTATACACTAACTCTCCAGGATGACTGAGAAGATATTAGATACATCTAAAGCAGTGCACAGCAATGCAGTATGTACTCAATGAAGAGCAGGTGTTCTGTTTATGTAGCACTTATGACATTAACAATAGAAAGCCAGTTTCTAAGCTATCAGGCATACACAACTAAGAATCTGTTTCTTACAACCCTGGTCAATCTTTCAGTAAGATACATTTGGTGTGTCGTAATGTAGAAATCATTTTTATAAGTATAAAGGCATCTAGCAGATATCTGGAACCAATTGCTCATCTTACATTAAGCATTCATTAAGAACACTGTTAGGAGATCTGAATGTCACAGGTTTTGCTTAAACCTCACAAATAAGAAATGCAGATTTGGCAAATTGCTCTCCATAAGCCAGGTCTCTAAGGCCTTTGGCCAGAAAACACACTTTCTTTTATAGGGAAAAAAAAGTTTAGACAAGTGGGTGGGCATTATACTAACATATAAACTATTTTCTTTCCTTTTTTTTTAGATTTTATTTATTTGACAGAGAGAGACAGCAAACATAAGCAGGGGGAGGGGGAGAGGGAGAAGCAGGCTTCCTGCTGAGCAGTGAGCCTGATGCGGGGCTTGATCCCAGGACCCTGGGATCATGACCTGAGCGGAAGGCAGATGCTTAACGACTGAGTCACCCAGGCACCCCATAAACTAAATACGGTGGTGTGGGGGGGATAACAGGTAAAAATCTAGTAAAGTATTTAGTAACATTACTTTTTTAAAGGCTTAGATAACCAGAAAGGCTGGGGAATGACTGCAGCCTACGGTTTAACCCATGTAAGAACATTAACAGAAGCACAAATCTCTATTGGCTCTATAAAGGTTTATGGTGATTTTTTCCAGGTTTATTGATTTCAGTTTTGTTTGTTTTCTTATTAACTGGGATCAAATAAAACTACTTTATAAAACAAAAGATTACCTAAACATAAAAGTTGTCACCAGGAGACTTTTCAACACATAATTCTTAAGATTCATGGGCCTAATATGCTAAAAACTTCTTTCCTTTAAGGAAACTATACAGTATAGTTTCATTCACTGGATAGTTTTCTCCATTTATAAACAGAGTAACTTCTCATTTCTCAAAATTTTCCCATCAGTTTGCCAATATCTTTTCAAAGAGCTGTATTAGTGTCTTTTCAAAATGGTAAGGAATTTATTTAATTTGCTTGAATAATGCTTTAGGTTTAAGCATCTCATAGCTAATCTCTTATTTTATCTCAGTAAAAAAATGGCTGTCAGCTGCTTCTGGTCAGAACTTTAGTATTAACTTTAATACAACAAAACAATTATGTTAGAAAGACTCTCCAGTGTTCAAACAGACAATACTAATTGACTCCACCAAGTAGACAAATGTTGCCCCTAGAAGAATATCAACAGCACCACAGCACTTACTGAATATTCAGGCAGTGTTCTAAGTGCTAATATTTATATACTTTATTATTTAATTCTCTCAACAACTGTGGGAGAAGAACTATTCTTTTGACAGATGATGAAACTGAAGCATACAATGACCACGTACCTACCTAAGTTTATGTCAAGGCTAAGATTCAAACCCAAGTAGTCTGTCGTCAAAGCTCATGCTCTCAACCCCTAACTATGCTGCAGCAATTCGCTCACTCTGGTGTGCCAACAAAAACAAAGTTCTATTCAAAATCTGACTTTTTACAGGGGTTATGATGATGTTGTTCGTTTATGATCCAGACAACGGATAAGATTAACATCTGTTTTTAAAAAATGTATCTTCTGTACTTTAGCATCTTAACTTTATATTCAAGTGTTTGGGTAAATCCAATGCCTTTTTTTCAGATAATGATGTGTATGCCTCAAACCAGAGGGTCAATATATTAATCATATCACACTATGAAATGTAAAGCTAGCGTATGTGTATACATACACACACACACACACACACACATATACATACTCTGTGGATTAGTAATCTCAAATACTAAATCATGCATTTTGTAAATTTAGAAGGAATAATTAAGTGCACGGAGTACCAAAATTAGCCACATTATAGATGATAAAAAAATAAAATTCACAGAGAAAAATGAGGTTAAAGAGAAACTTTGGACTTAAAAGGCTGCAAAGAGCCTAGCCAATGAAAGATGGTGTTTCTGATACATTTAAACTTTCAACAGAGTCCTGTGGATACATCTTTTTCTTCAGTCTTTTATTTCGGTAGCCAATCATGTTTTTCATGTTATAAGAATTCTAAAAATGGATAAAAGTGGAGTAATTCTGTGCAGGCAGGGAAGCCTAGAGCCCTGATGCTCAGCTGTCCTCCGTCTCAGCCCATAGCTGCCTCACCGCTATTCTCTGGCATTCCTACAACCCACTCTTCAATTCTATCCTGCACAGAGCTGATCTTTCTTCCCAAAGTACAGAGACTTTATTTTCCAAAATCATTACCTTCACATCCTGTTAATACCCTGGATTTATATGGTACTTTGTAATTTACAAAAAGCTTTCATGTTCATTCATTACCACATTAAAACCTCACAACAATCTACAGAAGTAGATGGGACAGATTATTTGCTCCATCTTACAGCTCAATTAATCTAGATTCCAAGATAAGTGCTTAAGTCAAGCCATATGAGGTACAACGTTTTAAAGTGAGAACTAAAGTAGGAAATACCTTCTTCTCAAGTAGCACGCCAACCCCACCTCCCTAATCTTTAGCCAGCAATTCAAGGCTTTTTATGGCCTAATCTACCTTTCCACCTCACTTCCTTTAATCTGTAGGAACTGTGCTTTGGTGAATCTACAGAGACTAAGTAATTTACAGACTAATTTTTGTACTGCATTGCAAGTGTACCTTCGCGATTACAATCATCACTAAGACTGGACCCTGTGGTGGTTAAGAGCATGAACTCTGGAGCCAGACTACCCAAGTTTGATACCACTTCCTCCACTTAACTAGCTGTGTGACCTGGGTTAGAAAACTTTGCTTTGCCTCAGTTTCTCCATCTGGAAAGTGTGGGAAAAAAACACGTACCTTGTAGAACTGTTGTAAGCATTAAAATAAGCTAATAAAATGCACAAGACTTAAGACGAGTGCCTGGCACAGTCAGCTGTTTGCTTTTCTTATCATTATTACTACTGAACACCTCTGTATAAAGCACTGCACTACGTACCGAGGATCCAAGAGTAACTGAGAGTTGCTATTTTTAGAGGGTTTCATTTCAACTCTACTTGAAGAAACACAAGATATTCTTCAAGAATTTTTTTTTTGCACTAGCCAAATGGTGGAGAAGTCCACAAGGTAACATATAAATGCTAAATAAATAGAAAAGGATGGCTGTAAAAATTCTAAGGAATACATTCTGAGGTTTGAGGTTGTGTGGGGAAAAAAAAAATCTCAGATATTTTTTTTAAGTGAAGATGGCATAAGTTCTGTGAACATAAAAATCGTATTCTTTTTCCCTCCTCCTCCTCTTTTTTTTTTTTTTAAATAACTCTTGTCATTAACCTTCCTAAGTTTCTACTGGGAATCAGGCTAAGAAAATTATTTTATAATACAAAATTTGCATACCTCACAAACTGAAAGCCATTCCTATATATTATATTCACTCTATTATACTAAAACTAAGAAGAGAAACAGAACGTTCATATAAAACAAAAAATTTTTAAAATAAAAAACTATAGAGCAACTATAAGAAAACATCATGTTTAAATATTGCCTCAATCACAAAAAGTGTAAATTTAAATTCTACAGTTATTCAAACATCAGTTTACAAGTAGTACACATCTGGTATTAAATTATATTACTATGGCCTAAGAGGTGAAAATTAGGATTAAAATTAAAACATAAAGCATGAATTTAGGGTGCTAGAAATGAAATTCTGAAAAAAACAAAAACAAAAACATAATTTTTAAAAGGACATACTTAACCCAGACCATTCATCATCGATATAGGGTTGATTACGGCTAACATCCCACTGATAATCAGAAGTGGTAGAATGAGAAACTGGCTCAGCAGTAGACCCTTAAATGAAAACGAATGCAATAAAATTAAAAATGGAATTTTCTAATGATGCTTCATAACAATAGTTCTATACTTTGCACACGGAGTCTAAATTATTTTTTATTTCCCCTAAAAGGAAAAATTCAGACATTAGAAAAAGAGTTAAGATAAGGAAAAGTAGAATTGAGGGTAATTTCAGATTAAGCATGATAATCACTTGACTGAATTCACTGCCTGGAACTATATATTGTCCCTAGTACCAATCTATTCGATTTTGTCTTTTATAACACATATTTCAAACTGATTATCTACAAATTTCAAGAAGGTGAAAAAAGTTCTATTTTTGTTCTTAATGAAAAATAATAAAGCACAAAAGAAATCCTGAATGTTTCAGGATATGCCTATAACCTGAGAACCTTGAAAAGAGAGAGCTAGAAAATATCTAGGTTTGCTGGAACCTTCTGCCTAAGAAAAAGTTAAAGAAACATGATTATCTAGAGAGGTGAGAGACAGAGGGAAGCCAGTGGTTTAGAGGCCAAGTTAAGTTCAGGTGCACTTAAAGAGAAGAGACTATTATCTCCTAAGTTCCTTCTGTTTTCATTTTTGGGGAGGAGGTGGGGTGAGAATGGGGTCACATAGTTTTTAGAATCTGATGAAAGCTGTGATGGACTCTGTCCAGAAGCTACACAAAATTTTGCAGATAATTTTGGGGGCACAACAATTCATGGGTGCCAGGTCAAAAACCCTTGTTCTATAGCTATAAATTCATTTTAGAATGCAAACATAAAGCAAGGATTCTCCATCAGGGATACATATACCCCAGACCTTCTGAATCACAATTTTCACATGTACTGGAATCCTTGGGAGACTCTGATCCTCACTTTGGATTTGCAGCCACTGATACAAAGAAATGGTTAAGAAAACCTGTTACTGTAAAAGACTTACATACAATCATGTCCTCTTATAAAAGTCCTTCCTAACTTAAACGTTTTCACCTGGTTATAGATGATCTTACCAGCCTTCCATAATATAATGGCTTGATACATACTTAAAGTAGTTATGTATTTTTTAATAAAAAATTTAACAGTAGAACCCTATAAATCCATATATAATTAGTATATTAGCTGCTTATAAGCACCACAGTAACACTATTGCTATTTCTTTAGCAGCCCATGCTGCTTTCTCTTTCTCTGAATAATGAAGAGAATAACATCTGTGCTGTACCAAGTCACCAAATGAAAGACGCAATTAATTCTATCTCTGGAACTGAAATGTAGTCTATGAGACCAGGGGCTGGCAAACTATGACCCACAGGCCAAATGCAAACAGTCCCTTTCTGTGTGACCCATAAGCGAAGATCAGTTTTTATATTTACAAATGACTGAAAAAAGATCAAAAGAATAGTATTTCAAAACCAGACACAGCCATCTGTTTATATGTATCATCTCTGGCTGCCTTCCTGTTACAATGTCAGAATTAAGTAGTTCCACAGAGACAGTATGGCCCACAAAGCCTAAAATATTTATTATTTTGCCCTTTACAGAAAAAGTCTGCTGACCCCCTAGTTCTAGTGACTCCAGACACTGTGGAGCTACATAATTAGTACAGTGGGTCCATGAATTCCATAGTGAACAAAATGTTACAAACTAGACACCTCCCACATTTATGTAGTATTTGTTAAGTACATATGACTTCTACATGATTAATAAAAGGCACATCCATTACAGCATTTAAGTAATGCTGAATTGGTAATAGTTTATTAGTAATACTGTATTTTCTAAATCAATAGATACTCTAAGTAGAGTTATTATGTGAGGTTCTACATAACCTAAAAGGCTTAGATATAAACGCATGATGAATAAGGAAATAAGGGCAAATAGAAATAGCAAACTGCAAGTAGAAGTATGGTAGAAATACACTAGTAACAGGAAAGTATGACCCTGAAGGAAAGGCCTTCTATTTCTATTTGTCTGTGTGACAAGGAACTTTCAGTTATGTTATGCCACAGAATCTTCCTATCTTCACTACAGAAAGGAACCAAGCCACTTGCAGGTAAGAATTTAGGTCTTCTTTTCTCCCCTTTTATTAAGGCCTCCGCTACTTTATATTATATATCTGTTATTTATGTTGATAGCAGTACTTGACTCTTTTATTTTTCAAATAGCATGAGCTACAAAGAATTTAAACAGAAATTCTTTTGTTAACTAAATGAAAGACTGTTTTCACATACCAGAAACAGCAGAGTTAAGTGTGAGAGATGCAAAAGAAGAATTCTGTTCAGAGGTATTCATTCCCCTATCCACACTAGACCAAGCAGCTGTTAAAATAAAGAACGTCACTTGGAACCTTCAATTTGCAAAAGAAAAGTTGAAAGATATGTACAGATTTAAACTATGATAATAATATTTAAAGATAACCTTGGAAATTAGGACAATACAGCAATAGCTACTATTTCTATGACAGGCCAAACTCTTCATACCAAACACCTCTAATCCTAGGGTAACCCTGCTAGGCACAATTTCAGAGTAGTTAAATGACTTTCTGACAGCCAGAAAACAGCTGAGCCATGACTGGAACTTAAGCTGATTTCCAAAGCCTATGCTTTCTCCACTTTAGCAAGCTACCTTATTATTTACCATAATTATGCTACTACTTGGGGCCAGGCACCGAACTTGGTACTTGACATTCATTACAGCCAATCCTCACAACTACTGAAATAGGAGGTTCATACAGGTTAAAAAACTAAGCCTGATTTCCATAAAAGTTATTATGTGGGAAAATAGGGATTCATTCCAAATAGGTCCATTTCAACTAGTCCACACTCATTCTACTATACTGTACTATTTCCTCAATATTTTCAAGCTATTTCTTACTTATATAAATGAGTATTTTAAGGAACGTATACATCCATGAGACCAGTCACACCAGTCTCTTCTTAGTGAGTCACTACAAACCCAATTTAATATAGTTCCCTTTCAATTTCAACAAAGGTCCTAATCCACTTAGGCAGGAACTCTAACCTGCTGCTTAATTTTATCTGTAGCAACCATTAAGCAAGTACCATCTAATTTATGTTGTAATTATGAAAATGCTATATAGCTTTTATAAGTAAATTGCAAATATCTGAAAAGGCCATAGTTTTTAACATTACTCGATAAAATCTGATGATCTTTTGTTAAATATGAAAGGATGCTTTAAAGCATAGACATTTCTGCTTTCTTCACTATGGAAAATGAGGCTGGGAATTTAGGGACTGTTTACTTCCAAACAAATTTTTATATTTCTACACAATTTCTGGACATTGTAGGGAAGAACAAGCTTAAAAATAATTATCAGTAAATGATCTAGAGTTTGCTTCTTGGGGACAATAGTCAACATGAATCTTTTTAGGCTTAAAAGTGATGGGAAAAGCAAATAACACTGGAAGAAAGTTTTTTTGTACTTAATCACTAAAAACTCTGTAGTGTCTGTTGCTCTCCCAAATAAAAGAGATAAAACAAAAATATCTGCAATAAGCGTAACAGAAAAAAGTATATGTTTAATGTACAAGGAATTACAACTTGATTAGAAAAAAAAATAACTGAAACAAGAGGCCATTAGACAAATGAGCAAAGAACATGAATAGACAATTCATAAAATAGAAATGACCAAGAAAATTGTGAAAAATATTCAACCTCATTTAACCAGAACAATTTATGTATGTATTTTTTGTTTATCAAGTTAGAAAAGATTTTTTAAATAAGAATACCCAATCTTGGTCAGCACAGGACAAATGGCACTCATATCGATGCTGACAGTATAAATCAGAACTACTCTCTTAGAAAATACTTTGACAACGTGACAGAGCACTGTATGTTTATACTCCCTTCAGCCCAGTAACATCACTCCCAAGAATCTATCCTAAAAAAATAACCCGAAAACAAATATATTAATGCAATGTTACTTACAATGGTTAAAAAACAGAGAAAATTCTCTTGATAATATGGGAATAGTTGAATAATTTATATGCTATGCTTATACGATATATTATAGGGCCTCCAAATAAAAATCCTTACAATAAGGAAAATGTTCATGTTATAATATTAAGTGTGTGTGTGGGGGGAAGGGACATAAAAATGCATTATCTAATTTAGATTATGTAAAACAAAAAACAAAAAACAAAAAAACTACACAGGAAAAAAAAGACCATTAAAGAAATATAAAAAAACAGTGGTTGTCATTGGGTGGTGTGATAACTGGGTTTTTCCTTCTCTTTTAAGTTTTCCATATTAAACATGGACTTCTTTTCTATAACACATACACATACATACACACACACACACACACACACACACACACACACAGGAATTAAGTTGTTTATTTGATGGCTTTCAACAAGAATAAGCTTCTCAACTACTGTCTTTATCTTTAAAACCGAGGAGAAAAATTAATTATATATACTGCAAAATAGTATAAAAGTGGATGCTGTAAACTTTTATTATTCTTATTTAAACTCAAGAGAACTGATGAAATTAATCAAAAAGTCTGCTCACACATTACATTTATAACATCACTAAAAATATACAATTATACCCCTTAGCTACACTGATAATCAGATGTGATAAAAGTATGTGAGAGCACTAAACAAAGAGCGAGTAATACATGCTATTATTGACTTTTTTAGTTACCACTTTGCTCTATGTGAAGGTTTGAGATGAGTTAGTTATTACTATTATTTCTGAATAGCTTTACTCATTTTTCTACTCATGGATTTTTTTTTTCATTCCTGGAAAATTCAAAATGTACTGGAAATAAGCAATTGTAAATGAACTTAAAATTTTCTAACACTTCTTACCAATGCCAGAAAATATTGAACGGTCACTCCAACTCCTTCCCCAGTCTTTTCCATTTACATTAGCATCTCCAGTGTCTTGACCCCAGGCAGATGGCTCACTTTTCCTCTTGCCTACAGAAGCAGGTGAAACAGAATTCCACTTCTCCTCACCTGCACTGATCTGTGAGGAGAGTTTTACAGACTTTTCATTCCAGCCTCCTCCATTTACAGTGAGGTTTTCGTTCAATCCTGAAGGAACTTAAAGAAAAGAAAAGAAGATTAAAAACTGATACATAACTCCTTAAAACTGGGATATTTTCAAATTTCTCTGATTGCTTGGTTTATATTTATCACTCATTTTTTCCCCTACTGTCCTCTAAACAGCTTGAGCTTTAAAAATAAAAATGATGTCCTAAAACTGACATGACCACCGTGGATGACTTTAATTTAAAAACTAAGAGTAGGCTTGAACTTTATATTTTAATGATGTTTTCAACAGCAGAATGACTTGCTCAAAGAAAGTACAAAACAGCAAACAGGAAAACAACACATATTCTGCTATGCTCAGAATACTCACCCACTAAAAATATGAACACTTCTCCTTAGTTCCATGTTCTTTTCTTATTTACACACACACACGCACGCACGCACACACACACACACAGTATAAGGCAGTGATTCTGAAACCTGGCTGCACGTTAAAATCAACTGAAAAATTTCTTTAGACACTGGAGCCTCAGGCCAGACTAATTAAAATCAGAATCTCTAGGGGTGCCTGGCTGGCTCAAGTTGGAAGAGCATGTAACTTTTAATCTTGGGGTGGTGGGTTTGAGACCCATGTTGGGCACAGAGATTATTTAAGAAAATAAAAATAAAGGGGCGCCTGGGTGGCTCAGATGGTTAAGCGTCTGCCTTCGGCTCAGGTCATGATCCCAGGGTCCTGGGATCGAGTCCCGCATCGGGCTCCCTGCTCCTTGGGAGCCTGCTTCTCCCTCTGCCTCTCTCTCTCTCTCTCTCTCTCTGGCTCTCATGAATAAATAAATAAATAAAATCTTTAAAAAAAAAAAAAAAGAAAATAAAAATAAAATAAAATAAAATCAGAATATTTGCATGCAGGTATATGTACATATGTGTGTGTGTTGTTTTTCTAAGCTTCCTCGATGACTGTAATGTGTAGCCAGGATTGAGAACCATGGGAATGAAGGAAGCTGACAGGGTTAAAACAAGCCTGAAACAAGAAGGTGCTTTTCATTTCTGAGTTTATATTTTACTACCACACTTTTAGTTTGCAGGTAAGGTATATCCCTCTACTTAATTCAATCTTTATCATAAACAAGTAAATAAAATATATTTTCTAATTGTGAAGCACAGTATAACTTCAGACTGTAGTCCATTTATTGTAAAATATTTGATATTGTTAAGGAAGCAATTTAAACGATTATAGGTATTAAGGTTTTTTTTTTTTTTTAATAAACAGGGGTAAAGTCTTTTATCCCATATATGCCTATATTAAAACCAAGTCCTCCACCACCCCAAATCTTTCTTTTCTCTATTGGCTTACACAATGCAAGCAAGAATAAAAATCGCATGTAAACTATTACTAAAAAAATGTTTTTACATATGGGGAGAGGGAGAAACAACTAGAACATACCAAAGACTGTTAGGAAGTGGGAATGATTTTTCTTTTTATCCATTTTCCAAAATCTCTGGATTGTGATTATGTTACTTTAGTAATTAAAAATCATTTCTAAGCCTTTTTTTCCTTCTGTATCATTCATGTGAGGAAACAGACATGTATATAAGTTTCTATTTTGATGGGCCTTCAATTTAAGTTACACGTAATTTCTCTCACCCTGAAGTGTAGAATCTCCTTTTCCAGACTTAAAGTTGCTAACTTGAACATTTAGATGAGAATCACCTGGTTGAAATAGAAATAAAATTTATTTAATACTAAATAGGCCACTATGCACATTAAATTAGGAGTTAACAAAGAAATTAGTTTTCACTTATTATTTTTAATAAATTGTTTCTTCAAGTACTAAATTCTTATACTGGAGAAGAGTTTTACTCACAACACACTTGACATATCCTTAAGGAACTGAGTTCTATACCATATTCTTAGTCAACTAAAATGGCAATATAGGAACTAGAAAATCGCTTAAGTATATGTAGAGTCTGCTGTTCTGTAATGCTTATGAGATTCTTTGAAGTAGGAACTGGAGAACTGGGGCTCTGTAATTGGATTCAACTTTGCCACCTCTCAACAATACCAGCTGCCTTTTCAATAATCCTGGAAGCAAACACATCCAACTTAAGAAGAACACTGCCAGTATTTGGGACCAGGACTTAGGAAATATGGCAAGAGGTACGAATACATATTATAACAAAGATACCATTTCTCTGACACTAAAAGGCATTTAATGATTACAATGTATCAAAAAGCCAGCAGACACAGGATTGTGCTAGCAAGGGAGGCATGCACAAGACAGTGAAAAAGGGTCCCCAACACAAAGGAGCTCTAAGGCATGGCTAATATGTAACAGCGAAAATGCATAAATAGAAGTCATTGCTGTACCAAAGCAATACATTCCAGCAAGTCATCAAGCAAAAAAGTAAAATATACCAAGGCTAAGAAAGTGGTCTGGAGACAAATGCAGGGTGAGGAGGCAATTAATAAAAAGGTGAAGAAAAGTCAATGCCCAAGTTGAATACTATCACTCTGCAGACTGATGTCTTCAGGGTAAAAATGATGGCAATGTAAAGAGCTTTAAGAAGCCATCAGTACTGGATCGTGTGAGCACTTGAAATACTTGGGAAGAGTACCAGCTCAACAACCTCTGAAGTTTCAGTCTAGCTTTATCAAACACCTATGGCATTCTCAAAAAGTTAGGGTGATAAGAAGTCCAGACAGAGCCTGCACTATCCAGATCATGCTTGCTTCATCTTGGAATGAAAGCATCCAACATGCAGAAGAGTGACAAATAATTTTATTTAATAAATGTCTTGTCCACTCTAAGAAATGGAGATGTAAGAGAGTTGCAGCAAAGCAATGCACACAAGAAAAAAAGGCAACATCATTTTCTCATGTGACTCAAGGCAGAAAGGCAATTTTAATTTAGCAGGCCATTCATTAGGCGGTACGTAACAAGTAACACTGCTAGTCATCAGGTAAACCAATATGTGGTCCACAGTGCTCTCACGAAGAAGGGTATATCAGCACAATGATGTAAGCAGTTCAAAATAGTCAAATTTTGACATAATGATATTTTGTACATCTGATTAAAAGGAGCTGGATTTGATGTATGACTCTTATGTTCCACTAATATACCTTTATTCTTCTTGGAACCAACAGGAAATGATGCAGTTGTAAGTTGCTCGGTGGGAACTGTGATGGTATTTTCTATCCCAGGGATAGTTGAATCCAATGAACCAGAATCAGTCTGCACCTTATCACGTTTACGCTGCTGTCGTTTCTCTCTGTGACTAATTTTAGTTTCCCAGGCTCCTGACATAGCCCCAGAAAAAAAAGTGTTATTCAGTAAAGGGGAAAACAAAACGTTGTAGTTCTGAGGGGGGAAATGAGGCAGGGCACATAAGATATCATGATAAATTAAGAGAGTAAACTAAAAACCCAGGGTACTGATTATATTAATTTATCCTAAGAATTTATTCTAATCCCAATATGTTGTTTTAGCAGCTAACGGCCATTATTATTTATTCTGGTAATTTTTATCAACTGTCACCTATGATTTAGGAAAAATGATAACTATAAGTCATCCTGTAGATCTTTTTATCCCGCTGCAGAGAATTCAGAGTGTTATAAATAATTACTCATAAATGGGTTTATTTGGTGATGACAATAAAGGGCTTCCTCAAGAATTTTGTACACAGCCTTCTAGGGACAGTGTATTTGAGAACAAAAGGGGAAAAGTCCAAATCATATTTCTAAGAAACAAAGACAAAACAATTGCTCAAGATACTGAGCTAGACCTTAAATCTCAAAGTGGTTCCCTTCAGGAAAAGCACTATTAGATTCTTATAACTTAGAGTAAAAAAAAAACAAAAAACTGTTTTCTAACAATGTCACAGATCTGTACATTAAAATCTGTAATTATTAAAAGAAAAGCTAGATACAAGATTAAGCAACACAAATGCAGCTTTTATATAATGCACCATGGTAAAAAAGGATTAAAAATTTTTCTATAGTCCTTTCACTTGCTCAAGTACCTTCATCAACTTCCTTTCCATCATGGCGTGAACTGTTTTGCACTGCTTTAGCATCTGACTTTGATTTCTTCTTATTTTTCTTTGACTGAAAGTAAAATAGAATGTTACTTAATATTTCATTATGTTTTTGAAAAGGTAGGAGTCAGTAAGATACATAATGAAATGTATGATGCTGACAAGCAAAAAATTTAATGTTTGATTAAAAAACTTAACATTAAATGGCAATAATAATATGAGGTTAACATTTATTGAGTGATTACTCTATGCTAAGTACTTTGCACTCATTTTCTTCTTTATTCCCTAAAAAAAAAAAAAAATCACTAGAGAAGGTATTATTCCCATTTTAGAGATGAGGAAATGGAGACTTAGAGCTGTTAAATATTAAATAGGCTGTCTGGGGTCACATTAAGAGCTAGTAAATGGTAGAGTAAAATTAGGAAATAGGTCTATCTGGTTCCAAAGTCTGTGCCCTTAGAAACATGCTACCCTAACTTACATCATAAATAAGGTACTATAATATGTGTTCAGAACAATAAAATAAAAACCTACTGCTAATGTTCAGAAAGAAAATGATGCACTGATTATTGGTTTTTGGATTTCGTAAAACACATTGCTGGAATACCCTACTGTATAGCAAATTAGTGAGTCAACTGTACAAAGTAGATAATATTTTGTCGGTTTCAGAGCAATGTGAAAATACCTAGGATTCGTATATGGTAGATGTTTAGCATTTAGTAATTCATTAAAGAAAAAATATCTACACACAGAGAAGGTAAGGATATTCTGAAATAGCCTTCCAATTCCCTTCCGCTAATATTTTCTCTTCTCAAAAGCTCATTAAAACCTCATAAAGCCATGATTCCTATAGATTAGTGCTTCAAGAAGAGTACTAACGTTCATGAAATAGTGATTTTATTTATAATTTGTATTCACTCATTTAACTATTTATTGAGATTGGCTACACATATGTATTATTGTACACTATCTTAAAATTAAGTTTACAGCCAAAAAGACTGTATCTTGATAGTAAGCCTTTTTCATGGGTAAAGCAGTAAAGGATAGTAAGTAATGAATGACAGCTCTTAAGAGTGATTAAGAATTCTTTGACAAAAGGAGTAAACACAAACTATTCAAAACAATGTTTTTTTATTTCCCATAGTTGATCTGTACTTGTTTCTTTGCATGTTCTCATGAACATGTATCACGTCTCGCGTACTGCTTTATTACACCTACCAAACCAGGCTCATATCCACTTTATAAAAACTTTACAAAAAAGAGGCATCATCTACATACCATAATATTTATCCTTAAGTGTACAATTCAGGGGCGCCTGGGTGGCTCAGTTGGTTAAGCGACTGCCTTCAGCTCAGGTCATGATCCTGGAGTCCCAGGATCAAGTCCCGCATCGGGCTCCCTGCTCAGCAGGGAGTATGCTTCTCCCTCTGACCCTCCCCCCTCTCATGTGCTCTCTCTCTTTCTCTCTCTCTTTCAAATAAATAAATAAATAAATCTTTAAAAAAAAAAGTGTACAATTCGGTGGTTTTTAGTATACTCGAGGTTGTACAATTACCACCATTATCTAATTCCAGAATGATTTCATCATCCCGAAAAAGAAAGCTGGTACCTAGTATTAGTCACTCCCCACTACCCTCTTCCCATTGGCGTCCACCACCAGGCCACTTTCTGTCTGTCTGTCTCTCATATCCACTCTCAAGTACACACAATACCTTGAGCACTTTTCAATTACAGTCTAAAATAGGGGTCAGCAAACTTTTTCCATAAAGGATCAAACAGTAAATATTTTAGGCTGTGCAAGTCATATGTATCTCTACATGTAGCAATTGTACAACTCTGCTATTATAGCATGGAAGTAGCCATATACAATATGTAATTAAATGGGCATGACTGTGTTCCAACAAAATTTTATTTACAAAAATAGGCACCTGGTTGGATTTCGGGGGCCAGAGTTTGCCAACCTCTGGTCTAGAGCAGCACTGTCCAATAGAAATATAATGCAAGCCATGTTAGTAATTTAAAATTTCCTAGCACACAGGTTAAAAGATTAAAAGAAATAGGTAACATTAATTTTAATAATATATGTAAATAAACACGTTCAAAATACTATTTCAAAATGTAATTAATATAAGAAACTATTAATAGCATAGTATGAGAAAGAGTGCCCAATAGCCATGTAAGTAGCTACCACATTGGACAGTACAGACCTACAGGAACTAACTAAAGTACCCCCATTTTATAGATACGAGAACTGAGGCCATAGATTATATAAATTGCCTGAGATCATAGGGTTATTAAGTGGTAAAATGAGCTAAAATTCAGTTCCGACTCTAGATCCTGCCCTCACAAATACTCTGCTATTCTGTCTCTCTACATTTAAGTCTAAATACAAATTTAATCATGTATTAGGTATGTGATTTTGGGCTAAATCGCTCTAAACCCTTTTCCCCAACTGCCATATAGGACAAAAATTCCTAACCTCACATACGGTCTTTTAAGGATTAAGTAAGATGTGAAAGCGGATTGCTAACTACGAAACGGTATACATAAATAAGACTCTTTCAAGGAAAGCAACTATGAAAAAAGGATTGAAATTACATTCACACTGAAATACTGTGATCTGTCACTAAAATAAAATCTGCAGAAAAATAAAGACAACTATCTTGGCTTAGGTCTTGTTTTAGTTACCTTTAAAAGTAACTAACCAAAAAATCATGCTTACCCAGATGAGCCTTAATAACATATTATAAAAAGCATTAAAATGAATATGCACACATGCTATTTGCCCCAGTCATCCTCTTCAGAGAAACACCTTACTTCTGGGCAGCTCCACTACAGTTAACACTTTTGAAGGAAAACTGCAAATACAAAGTTCTAGCTCCCTTGTTACCACAGTTCTTTCCCCCAGTTCATTGTCAGACTCTACCATGGAGCTAGCCTTAGCCTCCCTTGAATGGCTGGTCATCATGCAATCAAGACTTATTAAATACCTACAAAGTGCTAGACATACACTCCAAAACACTTACTTGTAAATTTTACACATATCCTACTACTGATGATGTATACATGTGTAAAACACGAGAGCAACAGGACTGAATACGCTTCATTATTTCTGAATAATCTCCTAAATGCATGCATTTTAATACTTTCAATATTAAAAAACTATCATACCTGACAAAGGTACAGAGATCCATTTAAATGAAGGCCATGCTTACTAAAACATGACATTAATTCTTCCACCTCATCCTCTATGTCGGCAAAAGTTTTTGTGGAAATATAACTAATAAAATTTAGTCTTCCTCAACACCAGGTGTTCCTGCAATTGAATCTGATGGTTTTACTTTATTTTGGCATTTTTTTTTTTCAACCTTTCTTTTTTATTAACTTTAATTGTTTTATCCAGACACGTTGCCTGTTTCTGGGTAATTGCCTCTCCCTAGCCATCAGTGTGTGCACAAAAGAGAAAACTTATTTAATATTTCTACTAATTGGAATATAAGAGTAATATAAATCTTTACAACATTTGTCATTGTATCATTAGCTTTCAGGATGCTTTAAATAGCAATAGAACAAACTTTTACTGTTTCTTTATGACAATATCATAAAAATTAAAATGGGTCATAATGATTTTTTAAAATAAATTCATACCATAAATGATATAAAGTAAGGCTATAATACCCTCCCAGATCTATGACATTTTTTTCTAAATACTTTAAAATACCTTCTGATGGCAAAAGTACATACCACCGTAATCCTAAAGTTACATATTGGACTTGATGTATTACATCTTGTTATTGCACTCTAAGGGTATGGTTAAATGTTTCTTACAAAAAAACAATTCCACATAATTTCATTCAACTCAATTCATTCAGTTATATAGAACATTCTGAACTCAGTGTTACAGACTGAATTGTGCTCCCACCCACCCCCCAAACATATAATGAAGCCCTAACCGCCAATACTAAGATTGTGGCTCTATTTAGAAACAAGGTCTTTAAATAGGTAAATAACATGAGGCCATTAGGGTAAGCCCCAACCCAATCTGACTGGTGTTCTTAAAAGGAGGGATTATGACATACAAAGAGACACCAAGGATGCATGTACACAGAGAAAATATTTTGGCATTTTTAAAAAATGGATTCACTAAAAACACTTAAATTAAAAAAAGCTGGTTGTAATTGCTATCACTTATAGACCTTTCTAATTAACCCAGTTAACTCTCAAAATAGCTCTATGAGGCAGATGCTATTATTTCCACTTTACAGATAAGAGAAGGGAGGCACCAAGTGGTTAAGTAACCAACCCGAAGATCAAATAATTATTAAGTGCCAGAGCTGGATTTGATAAGCATGCTCCAGAACCTGGGCTGCTACGCTATTTTTCTGTTAGAAAACTGCTCCCAAGCTATTAAATTATGCAGATATGATAATTTTCACAACAAATAATTTTTAATAAAATCACACAATGATGTAAACTTCTCAGAATATACTCTCCATTGCATGAGTTTCTTACAAAACAAAACAAAACAAAACAAAACACCAGCTACTTTCTGACACATCTTGTTAAAGTTTCCTTAACATTGACGGGACAGATTAAGTACAAATTTTTCCCAAAAAGATCTGCTAAGTATAATCTGTCATTATAAAAAAGATCAACATATTTGAAAAACATATTAGTAAAAGAAACATATTAGTAAAAGAAAAATGTCTGGCTCGCTTTTTAAGGTGGTCAGCTTTTATAAGTATTTTGACAAATATAATCAATGAATCTCTTTTTTGTAGAATAGAAGATGATGATTCCCACCTTGCCCTTACTATAAATTAAAGGCCTCGTCTTCCAGTTTACAGTCTGGCTTTATACCTTTTTTGCCACCACAGATTTCTAGAAATAATGTAGTGAATGACTTTTGTGCACGGTGCTATCTCTATAACTTCATCTCCCTATTCCCCAAATTTTATTTTTTTAAATTAAATTCCAGTTCACATGGGCCCTCCATCAGTGGCTTTTATTTAGTTTTTCCACACCAAAAAAATTAAATTAAGTGATCTATTCTTGAGAATGTATCTTTGT